GGCCCTCCAGCCAATTGGCGACCCATCTGACCGTGTAGGGATCGACACCGCAGTCACCTAATTTTTTAATGAGAATGGGGTGAGAGACAGTGTCGAAGGCTCTTCTAAAGTCCCGAAAGACTACATCCACCACAACGCCTGTGTCCAAGGATTTAGTGACCTGATCATAGAAGGCCACCAGATTGGTCTCACAGGACCTGCCTCTGATTGGTTGCCCCTAAGCATACACTCCCCTGCTGGTCCCTTGCAGATGTGCTCCTGGATAATTTTCTTGAAGAGCTTCCCTAGGACCGAGGTAAAACTAACAGGCCTATAGTTTCTTGGGTCCTCCCTCCTCCCTTTTTTGAAAATGGGGACCACATTGGCCCTCTTCCAGTCCACTGGCACCTCACCAGAGCACCACAAGTGCTCGTAAAACAGTTTCCATGGAGACCCCAGAAGTGGCAGGGCAGTGGGTGGAGAATTGCTCCAAGGCCCAGGATCTTGCAGCAGTGATAGCATGGTCCGGAGCTGAGACAGAGCCACTGCCCGATTGCCCTGGGCAGGGGTGTGCAGGCAGCGAATTACAGCTCTACTCTGGCTCTGGACCACGCCGTCACCACTGCAAGATCTGGGCCCCAGAGCAGCTCCCCACCCAGCTGCGTGCCCTGCCAGTGCTGCTGGGACTGTTCTCCATGGAAACCCTGGCCCCCGTCACTGCCCTGCCACTTCTGGGGTCTCCACGGAAGCCGGCTGCAGCAACGCAGGCAGGGGCTGCTGGGAAATGGAGTCCAGCTGTTAGCTGGATCTGCCATGCTGCCCACCCCTGTTCTAAAGCCATGTCATTAAGGTTTTCGGGCCAACCAATGAACTACAAATAGGCTACAGTGTGTCCCTTCTCCTGCTCCCCTAGAGTAAGCAAGTTACCCAGCAACCTCTGCAATTCCAGTGGTCTGCTCATGGTAGAACTAGTACCTGATAGGATTTCTGAGCACTGATAACAAATACTATTTTTGTTAAAATGGAAACTTCTTCAAGGAAGTGTCTGATCTCACCCATGATGGGCATTTGGTGAAAACTGAGGGGTACTGAAGACTGAAACAGTTTGGGGTTTTTTCCTCCAACAAAAGTCCAAAAACATTTGAAGAAAAATGTTAACAACCCAATGTTCTTCATGGAAATTGCTGACAGAAGCAAAAGCTATTTAGGCCTCTGCAATATGCCCAGCATCAAGTCCATTTACTATCATGGACAAGTCAGATTTTGTTTCTCACTTTAGAACACTAGAACTGTTCCCTGACAACCTACTGACGCTAATAGATGACACAGATTCCTTCACCAAAGAGAGAAGCTGTGGGGCATCCCTGAAGTGGTTAGTGAGCTTCTCAGTTCAGACCACAATGCCCATATCCCCTTGTCCCTGCCCATAACCCATTATTTCTATTAGCTAAGGCAGCAGGTCCTTTCCCTATCCCCCACCAACAATGCCTCATGCGAACACTGCCAAGACTCACACAGGATGCTTGTCAAACATGACAGGAAGGAATTCATCCACTGGTAACATTTTAGACAGTGGCTCAGCTGCCAGCAGCTTCTGGGCGCCCTGCAGTGAAATCACATAGGCCAGAGTCCAGTAGGAATAATCAGCTTCCACTAGGTTTCGCACATGAGGCACAGACTTCTCTGGGTGCTCCACTTGCATCCGCTTTCTCCCAATGTAGCTGTGGGGCACAGAGCAGCAAGCAGCAGAGGTTTGTGTTAACAGGTATGTTCCAGCTCTGGCTTCTGTATTAGGACTTTATGCATAGGCAAAGTTCTGAGGCCTGTGTGATAGTCAGAGGTGAGATTAAATTGTCATAGCAATCTCTTCTGGGTCCCTGAATCTATGAAATCCTCATGCCCGCAGCTACACATGGCAGGCAGAAGTCAAGGAGGCACTCTTACAGAATAACAACTTCCTGGCACAGCAGAAATCCACTTTCCAGTTGGAAGGACACTCCATGCTCACCAATCCTGTGCTTTCCAATGAAAAAACCTGAAGTAGATGCCCATGGGCCTCTGCTGTAACCAGAATGTAACTTGTCACAGATAAGTGTGTGTCCCCACCCTGCTCCGAGTCTGCCATCTCACTATTCACTCCCCATACCCTTTTCATGCAGAAAAATCACACAGAGCACCAAAATAACTCTTCAATCTCTGCACTTACATCAGGTCCCAATCTAGACCCTCGTCTTCCAAGTCGTACATTAGGTTCATCAAACGTCGCTTAAAGAAAATCTCAAAACGCAGGTCATCCTCAAACACGACTGATTTCTCCAGCCCTCTCTCCACAATCTGGCAATTTAGCAGAGAGAGACTTCTCACAGTCAAGTCAGAGCACCTGCAAAGCATGCCCCTCCTCCCTGCCTTGCTGCAGCTTTTTCTTTATCAGGTCTCAGACCCAGAGAAGAACAATGTCCCAATGGTGGCAGGGCTCCACCAAAGAACACAGTATCACTCGCTCACTCACCTCCTTCCAGATCTTGTAGTGACTAAGAAAACACCCCAGCTCCCCTTTGGTGAGCGGACGGCCATGGTATGGATCCTGATAACCTGGAAGCATTTTAATCCCCAAAGCCTCCACCTCGCTGCTGTTCATAGCTCTGTAAACAAGTAAAACAAGGGTTAGTACCTCCTAGTCAGCACACATCACAGGCTCACTTTGGATTCTCTGCTAATGTTCACTTCCCTCCCCAAGGAATGCCTAAGCCACTTACCTGAGCCTTTCCCATGGCTGTTTCTGTAGAGAAACAGAACACAAGTTTCTAGGATTACTCACTGCCACATGGTCAATTTATACAGGACACAGGCAGTTTAGGTCATTACAGTGGAGTTGTATCTTACACAGGGGTAGGGTTCTAAAGTCAGTGTATAAGGCGAAAATCGCATATAGTCAAAATTGAGCGTGAGATGGGAGATGTGAATCTGCTGTTCCTTCAGTTGGTCTCAGAACTGAGACCGGCTGAGGGAACATCAGATTCATGTCTCCCATCTCACGCTCGCTCCAGGGCATATGCTCACTGAGTGGAATGGCGGGCGGAATCGCCTGCACTTTTTTTTTTTTTTTTTGCCGAGTGCATATAGTTGAATTCGCATAAGTTAAATGCGCACATGATGCAACTCCACTGTACAACAACTTTTCTGGAACCAGCTCAAGGTGCTATGCAGCCAGCAGCTTGTTCCCTCAGCCTGAAGAGATGTGTGTGCATGCATGTGGACAGAGAAGAGATTATCAGAGGAATGCATAAGGCCAAATCCTCTGTACTCCACTGCCTCTTTAGCCATAGACCAGGTGGAAGGAAAAAAGAAAATGTCTCAGTGCATGCAGGACTCCTAGGTCTCAGTGCTTTTAACAGTGACTGCAAGGCACTGAAATCCAGAGTGTTTGGCTCCTCTTTCTCCCCTCCACCAAGCAACCAAGTTGCCTTCTCCCACTGCTGCATTTCTTTAAAAAAAAAAAATCATTATCAACTCCTCCCCAGGGACTGACTGGGATGGGTGTCCCCACTACTTTTGCACGTTAGAACTGGACTGGCCACAAGCTTGTACTTCACACTTACTTTCCATCCACAGCCTCAATGATTTTGCACTCTATCTCCTGCTCATATAGTGTCTGCAGCATTCGGTCACGTCGGTCTGTCCGGCGCTTCAGATTAATCATGAACACCTGGAAAAAAGGAAATCCATGGCTAGAAAGGAGGCTCCTGTCACATCAGGGAAAGAAAGGACACCACAACAACCCTGCTCCATGTCGCATCTCAGCAGGAGTTTCATCAAGATTCAAAAGAGTGGCTCACAGATATTAGTCTGAAGTCAGTACAGAATGAAAAGGGGGAAGCCTGTTGCATCAACTCATGCACACTAAATGTCATTCTTGCTTTCAGCAATGCAAGCGCATGGCAAAAAGCCTCATCTCACCTCATCAAAACCCATCTTATCAGGTATCTTGGGCGGGACCGACACATATTGCGAAGGTTCCACTGGAGGGTTCTTCACTAAGGGGAAAATACAGAAACCCATTTACAGTCCACTTTATCAAAGACATTAACTTCCACAGACCGCAACCAAGGGATTTCTTTCAATCCCTACAACTCCAAATGGGGCACCATCAATTGCAACAGTGGAGGCAAACCTCCAGGAAAACTCACACCAGAAGACCTGGATATAAACAATCCAGTTAATCCAGAAATCACTTCCCGCCCTATTTTTCTATGATTCTATGAATCAACTAAGGCTGGAGAAAGGGAAATAAAGGATCTTTTCCTCTTCCACAACTGCAGCCTCTTTCCACCACAGACTTTACATTTTTTACTCCTGTTGAACAAGCAGCTGCTGCATTATGAAATTTACTATATGCTTCTGGTTATTCTTCTTGTTGGGAGGACACCCCTATCTCCACCAGTCAATTAAGGACAGTGTGTTTGAACAGGAAACCATTGACTAGAGCTCCATCAGCAGAAGCCATTCAGTTTCAGAGACCAGGAGAATGGAAGCTTGTGAAGAATGAAGAAGTATGTACGCTCTACATACAGCCTAAGAAAGTCAGAGGAATAGGGCTCTAGACTCAGATTTATAAAACTGTTTGGAAACGAATGGTATTAGCCCATACTCCCCCTTTTGCAGTACTCCAATTTACAAGTTGCCTCTAAACATCAAGGAATCAGTCCCCATCCCTTTAACTACTGGTCAAGAGAGGTCAGTTCCACTTTACTAAAAGAATCTTTGTGCTGCCAGGAGCAATACAAAGAGATACTGTGAATCTTGCCCTGCTAAGTACCCAAGGGAGCAGGGATGGAGTCCAGCAAACTCCAGGACACTCCCTGTACAGTACACACCAGACTTGACAGCAATGCACACACATGCCAGGGTGGGTGGCGCTGCCATACAGTCCTGCTGAGACCAGAGGCCAGGAGAAGGGAAACTGAAAGAGGCTTGCGTGGCACACTGTAGCCCAGGGAAACCAGAGGCCTCAAAGGACTGTAGTGCTTCTTACCACTAAAGGGATGCCACATCTTTGGTCTGTTTTTATGCAGCACAAAAAGCATTCATAGAAGCTAAACAAGTTATCCAGCTACTAGCAGACAAGACCATGCTGCTCTCCTCACTACATGTAGGGGGCACAATTCCTGACCCCCCCCTCCCTTCCCCCACTTCAAAAAATAAGAAAATCTAGGTTTGAGGCCAGAGAGCAAATCTCCAGGACAAAGGCAAAGGAGTACAGGAGAAAAAAAAAACCCACTAACGCAAATCCCTTCCCAGGCCTCTGTGGGCCTTAATTTTGCGTGTGCCAGATATGGCCCTTACCCATGACCTCCAGCTGCGTATGCATGAAGCTCTCCGCCTCGTCCCGGAGAGTGCTGTGGGATCTCAGTGGTACTGGCAGGTAGCCATAAACATCCTTGTTGCACACAAACATCTGGACTTCTGAAATGAACACACACAAACAGGCACAAGTAGGACAGTGCTCAGCTCTCCACAAGTGACAAAGCTAGCCCTGTACACCTGACAAGGTGTTCTTCGGCTGACTTGAGAAGCTAGGGACAAGGGATCTTCCATGGCCTGAGTAAAGCAACAGCAAAGGACTACACTGAGCCAAAACCTGTGCTCCAAGTGCTGCAAGGTAACAAAATCCTAACAGTGCCTGTTATGTGGAGTTGCTTGTTATAACAGAGTGCCAGCTCTGCTGACATGCAATGTGGGAAGCCCTTACTGTTTGAAAGTCAACTCCTAGTACTAGGATTCCCTGCAAAATTCACCCTACCTCATGAGGATGTGGGATAAGGCAAGTCATCCAGAGCAGGGGGGCAGCCAAACAGAGTTCACAAGATACAACTTTCCACCAAAAAGTTCACTGCCTCCTGTTGTCATCGCCCCCACCCCCCACACCGTGCCAACATTTCCCATAATTTACAAATTTTACCAAAAATTTTGGTAAGATTTGGAGCTCAAATTACAGCTCTGACTGTCAGGCAGCAAAGCCGAGTTGGGTGACATTCTCCCCCCCACCCACCCCCAATGCCTGGCACCCCTTCCCTCTGCCTTTTGGGAGAGATACTGAAATCACCATTAAACAAATAATTCAGCTGTCCTGATCTACACATGCTGTAAACTAAGATCCAAAGGCCTCAGGTCCCCTTAAGAGGACATAGGCCAACATGTGCACTAGGATGGCAAAGAGAGAAGCAAGGGTGCTCCTGAGGTAGAGTTTTGGGTCCCTGAAAAATAACAAATGTAAGCTTCTGAAAGACACAGAATAAGAAAGTAAAGGTATGTGCCACTCTGGTACGTGGAAAGAAAGCTGACCAGAACAGGTGGAGTTTGGAGGCTGACTAGGCAGGCCCGGACATGGCTGGGGACATGACACACAGTAGGGGCATGGGGTTCTGGTTCAATGTGCAGCTTTGGTTTACAGTGCTACGAACATGGACAACTAAGGAAGTGAACCACCATACAATAAGCTGCTGCCTGCAGAAACTATGAAGCAGCATGGTATGCCACAAGGTCACATGTTCTAAAGACCCAAGTGCTTAATGGGACAAGAAGTGAATTGGGAAATGGCAGCAGTGGGCAAAATGGGTGCAGATGAAGACAGACACACCAGTCTTCCTTTGCAAACTAAATGTTGCAATAAGGAGCATAAAATAAAACTCAAGGTTTTGTAGGCAAACCACATCCACAGTTTTCCTTCCTACCTTGTCAACAACTCCATTCTCCAAATATTTCAAACTGTGACAACACTCCCCATTCTACTCTAAGAGTATCTCAGAGTGGACCACACACGCTCCTGCAGGTACACTGTTAACTTCTGGACAGTACACAAGCAGGGGGAATGGGAAAAACATAGGAAAGGAAAAAAGCAGAAGACAACATGAAGCTATTGTCATCTCTCTCCAGTTGCTGAAGGGATTATAGGGTGCTTGTGATAACAAAGCACTCATTTTACTATCCATCACACAGAATTGCAGGGCTACACATCAGTAAAACAAACAGAAAAAAGTGTGAATTCCACTATACTATAATACAGGGTACAAAAGCAGGAAGGACTATTTTGGATTCACACCCTTTAGCTGGCCACAGTAATACCTCAACTGGAGACCTATGTAGTAGTCACAGTTGCCTAAATGAATACCAATTTCCTCCAAAAAAGCCCTTCTCACATTGCCACTCCAAAATCTCCATTTACACGATGTTTTGTTAATACCTGGTGATATCTCAGGCCCTGCCACAATGTCAAGTTCAGTAAACTTAGCAGGGAAACAACTGAGAAACCAAAAGTCGTATAGAATTGGTATATACCAGCCAGCTAATTCTGCCCCCTGGGGAATAACCTGCCGATACCCACCTGTAATCATTCACAAGCCCTCCAGTTGTGGTAGATGTAGTTGCACAGAACAATAGAAGAATTAGCTGAAAAAGCTTGGCACAGCTATGGCTGTGATATGAGATACTCAGAAGACAGGCTTCTCAGATCATCTCACCTCACTCAACATGTGATGAAAGCACTTAGACACATGTATAATACCTAAGCATACAGTATTTATAGATTGTGTAAGCAGCAGTGCCTTGGCATCTTCTTGTTCTGGGGAAAGTCAGCAGGGAGGTAGGATATGAGACTAGTATGTGTTATGATGGGTGTGTAAATATGTTGCCCTAGATGGCATACTGTGCTAAGGGTGCAAGGCTGCTTCTGGGATGTAGGCTCAGCTCCTCAATTGCATGTAGTAGACATAGGCTGCTCCTGTTCAGTCCCTTACCTAAGCACACTTTTTGCCTCAGCAGAGGGAATAATGTAGGCTCTTTCCCAGAGTAGCTCTATGGTCCATTTCACGAGTGATGTGTATGGGCTGCCAAGTGTGAGTATTGATAGAAATCTACTAGAGAACCTCTCAAGGCAGGGGGACAGAGTTAGAGTTGCACTGGCATGTACCTTAACTCTGCAGCTCCTGGGTTTCAGAGTGCCGAGTTCTGCTGAACTTGACATTGACTGTTGACAGCCAGCACCCATGCACAGTCCTGGCTCTGCCTTAAAGGCAGGGATGGATTAAGTAAAAATAAGTATGGTAGTGACTATAACAAACTGCTAAGAGAAGCTCAAATTGTCATAGCAAACACTTCTAGAAATAAGGAAGGAAGTTATATTTGGATTGCTTCAGCAACAAAATGTTTTACTGGTTACTATTTCACCAAATAAGGCTACCAGCCCTTTTCTGAACATTGCTTAGTCACTGGGTCACTGAAAAAGCAGGCAGACCATCATCCTCATCCTAAAAGATGGCCAGACCAGACAAAGAGCAGAAAGTGAAATGAGCATCCGCAGTAGCTTTGGTCATATCCTGAATGTGACCCTCAGGTTCTTGTTATCACACCCATTCCTTCTCTGCTTTATATCTCCCTCTTTTGTATCACTCTCTCCACCTTTGGTCTAAAAAGCCTTGCTCAGCCAGCTAAGGCTAATTCCTGTTCCAAAGCTGCTGTGAACTTTTGTGCAAAGGCAGCTGAAAGTAATTTCATAAACAGACTAGCACTGGTAAAAGTTTTATTCTCTGGCCCTGTAATATCACTGCAGCAAGGCTATAAGCAGAAAAAAAAAAGGCAGAGCCAGGGACAGATGCTGCAATGGAAAAAAAATAAAAACATTAACATATAATATGCTAATGAGGCTAAAACATCTCCCATTATCAATGTGGCAAGAAATCTACTTCCCTTTCTGAAGGCTGACAGGAGGCATGTCCATAGTCACCACAGAGCAGAAGTACACACATAACATATGCAAGCAAACATCCATTGCCTCACCTGCCTGCTTACAGGAAAATGCAAAGACAATGATATCGTCAAAGGACCAGGTGTAGTCTGGGTGTGGAGGGTAGAAAGTGAGATCCCAAGAGGCCTCCTTTCTCAAGTCGATCAGGAAGGTGGAATGCACCATGGGGACAGCAAAGCAACCACGGCGATCCCTTTTCCGAATAGGAATGTAGGCAGGAGTACGTTTGTAATAACCCTGAAAAGGAGAAGTGGACAGTCTCACATGAGCCATCATGTGGAAGGCATGGCTTTATGGTTGCTCCCCACTGCCCCCTTCAGCTGCAGCAGTACTGAACTATTCCAGCAAACACCCAGGGGTCCCCAAGTAGCAGCAGAGAGGAATAGGAGCTGCTGTGAGACTGCAATATAGCGAGCAAAAACTTGTAAGGCGGACACAGCTGTGAACTCCTTAAACCCCTATAGCAGTGTTTTCCAACCCCTGTGCTGCAGCATTTTGGGCTGAAGCCATGCCCCACATCTGCTGCTGCTGCCGGCAGCCAGACAGATGGGGAGCCTGATTCAGACACCACTCACCACCCAATCCCACTCCTCCCTCCCTGCTCTGCGGCATTTGGTGACTTGTTACTGCCCCCTTCCTCGGCTGGTGTGCCGTGGGGTGGGAGGCCATATAAGTATACCACAGGGTAAAAAAGATTAGGAAATGCTGCCCTATAGTCCAATCCCCCAAAGAGGTATACACAGGGACCATCAACATCATTTAAAATTATTTAGAAAAGCAGTAGGAAAGCCCTAAAATAGGTGTTGCAGAGTCAGATGCCTCTCCCTACCTGTGAGGTCATCCCACACCAGAAGTTAGAATAGGCAGCACGAGAATCTAGCATGGGTGCTATCACCGTCTTATTCTCCGCCATCAACAGGCTCAGAGTGTCTGGGTTTGTCAGGATATTATCTGCATCCACAAACTGCAAACAGCCAAAACAAACCACAGTTAATATTACACAGCCAAGTTGTTAAAATGACTCCTGTTCAAACTCTGTTAATGTATTTCACTGGCTTCAAAACACACCACCGGGGATGTCCCCAACCCCAGGCTGCCCATACTAACTACATAATATTGCTCTTATTTCTAAAGGTGTACCAGTACATTGTTTCCATATTGGATTGGCACCGATATAAGGAAAATTGACTGCATCGGCAATCAGCTTTTTTTGGCTGATGTGGCTGCTAATGCCACTACTAAATGCCCCATGCATGCATGCAGCTGCAGCACAGCATGAGGCAGCCAGGAGCACAGCCAAGCAGTGTGGAGAGCATCCAGGTCCAGCTGGTAAGTCCATTGTGAAGGAAGGGGTCAGGGGCAGTTTGAGGCCCCCACGGTAATAGAAGGATTGGAGTTGGGGCTGGTGCTGCACAGCCACAGCGGAGCATGGGATGGAACCATCCAGGGGGAAGGGGGGCCCTCTTCCTGCATGCACCCTGGGAGGGCCTGGGGGGCATGTCCCCCTGAATCTGTGTGCGGGCTGAAGGCAGGCTGCCACTGTGGGCTGGGGTGGCACTGGGCTCTTCCCAGCTGGGGGCTAGGCCACGGTTGCGCTTGGGCAGGCAACAGCACTGGGAGGAGGCTATGGAGAATACTAGAGTGGCTGCAGCCTAGGCCTGTGTGAGTACGCAGCTATTTGATCCCACTTCAGATCCAGCTGCTTCAGATACCAAGGATCCGATCCAGAGCTCTGGACCAGGCTTCTGCTTTGATCCAGCCGAAGCGTCTCCAAAGCTTGGGAGCCGCCTCGGAGACCCAACCATAGGGTATTTTGGGGAAACAATTAAATACCTATAACTTTGTTGTTTTTTGTCTGATCTGGATGAAATTTGCAGGGGTTATATCCTTTGTTGAGAGCATGACACCTGCTAAGTTTCAAGAAGATTGGTGCAGGGGTTTGGGGGGAACTGTACCCCAAATTTCTGAAAGCAAAACTCATGTCACGTGTACGTGTTAAGCCAGTGGGGTGAAAACTGCAGGGGCCCTGGTGAGGCCACAAAGCCTGCCAAGTTTCAAGTTGAAAGGTGCAAGGGTTTGGGGGGAACTGCACCTCA